TGTGTTGGGTATGTGTCATTATTACATTATTATTATTATTACGATTGTTATTACATTATTATTATTATTATTATCATTACTTTTATTATTATTTGATATTACTGTTGCCGTCATCACAAGGTATTATTAGCATCACCATCTTTAGTATTATTATTATTATTATTATTATGCATGCTAGTACTACTTGAATACTACTACTATTATTGTCAGATGGTCATCACTGTTTATTTTCATTGCTGTTATTATCATTACTGTTCTATTGCTGTTTTTGTGTTTTGTGTTCACCGTATGTTTTGCACTCTTAATAAAAAAATAAAAAATAAAAAAAAAGTTTAAGTATTGGGTTGGATTAGGAATATGGTCATGCAGAATATGTGCTTTATAAGTACTAATAAACAGCCAATATGCTAGAAACATGAATGCTAATAAGCAACTAGTTAATAGCGAGAATTGGTCCCTATACTAAAGTGTTACCAAAGTTTCTAATGCCTTGAGCTTCATATAACTTCATGTAAATTGAAATATGTTCGTTTTAATAAAAATCCACACATGGGACATACAGCTTGCTCAAAAGTTGAAGAAACCCATAAATTGTTCTCATCCACAAATCCTTAAATTTCATTTCAAGGAAAATTGTCAAATATTCCATCCCATTTCTTCACCCAGAACCTCCTCGTATCACACTATCTGAGGAGAAACTGACATTTCAGGACACGACACCCCAGAAACTGAGCTGCCATTGTGATCGCTACTATCCTCTGGATGTGCAGGTCAGCTCACAATCAGATGATCGTATTTTGATCTTGTTTTGGAGTTGTGTCCTGACAGCCCTGTGCTCCTGTAGGTGGAGTGGTTTTCCCAGGCACCGTCTGAAGAAGAGCCTGTCTCTTTGTCAAAAGAATCCTCCCTCTCCAGCCATCGGCAGCACAGTGATGGAACATATTCCCTCTCCTCTCACCTCACCCTACGGCCCGACAAAAACCCACCCGGGACGGTTATCACCTGTAGGGTCTCTCATCCAGCCCTAGAAACTCCGAGTGATGCCACTCTGACTGTGGACAAACCTAACCCAGGTAAGAGATTTTTTTGTGTTAGGTTACCCATGATGTTTTCACAAATATGATTTGTGTAAATTCAATGTTGATCATAGAGCAAACTAGTCAATAAAAAAACGAGTAAATCTGTTACATTTCTTAATTGAAATATTCATGAAGCTGTTGAACTTTTTTAATTGAACAGACACAGTCTTCTGGACAGTAGTCTTAATGTTGGCGATATCAGTGGTGTTTTTGTATCAAGCATTCAGAGGTGCAGGTGAGTTTAGCTTTTTAAAACATTCACAAGCAACTATATTTAATATTAACTATATATGCTGCCGTTCAAAACTAATTTTGTTTTTTACAGAAATTAACAGTTTTTTGCAGTAAGGATGCTTTAAATTGTGACAGTAAAGTGTGACAGTATGTTTATATTGATACAAAAAAAAATTATACTTAAATGTTCTTTTTGATCTTTACATTAATCAAATAATACAGGGAAAAAAGTCAGTTTCCACAAAAATATTAAGCATAATGTTTTGAACATTGATGATAAGAAATGTTTATTGAGCACCAAAAAGAAAAAAAAGTAGTGTATACTGTATAAGACCACACAATGGTGAGAAGACGATATTAAATGTATTATTGAATTATCATTATTTGTCTTTTAAGAGAACTGAGGACCAGTCTTCTGTGTGATCTCTTGGAACGAGCCATCTTACGTTTTCTTTTTTACTTCATCTGTCCGCAACTGTCTTCAAATGGGTTTATTTTCATTCAGTCATGGTACATTTGTTTTAATAGAAGTTGTCAAAATCAATTTCCTGCATAAGTTATTCTATAAACATAAAATGAATTTAAAAAACATTTCTGATGTTATAATCTATTGGATGTTGTTTATTTGTTGTACATTTTCCTTGCTTTTGTGAAATAAAAACAACAGCAGAGGGTTTGTCGATGGTTTTATTGGCATCATTAAAGTATCAGGGGCATATAAGCATGCTGTTTTTGCTATTAAAATACTGGCATCAGAGCTGATGGCATTACCCCTCTGTGATGGTATATGCTTTCATTCATATTTATACATATAATTTGTCATCATATTTAGTTTGTCTCACTTGATCTTACAAGAGAAAAATAGACATGTCTACATTCTCCAACAAACTATAAAAGTCTGTGCTGTGACGAAGGAATGTGAAAACCAACAGTTGTATATTGCATGGCAGTATAGATTATCGTTTATGCTCTGTTTGCATCGATTATCTGTGAATTTCTGTACGTTTCAGTACATTTTGGCAGGCTCGTAGCATTCACATCTTGTTCCCAGATGAGGCTTTTCCACAGAACAAGAAATGTATTTAGCACATAACCGGCAGTTAATAGTACTAAATTAACATATCACACGTAACACAGTGGGATTATTCTGCCATGCAAGTCAAAAGAAACAAATGATCCTTCTGTGTGTGCAAAGAATTATCACTTGTCCCTTTTATTATAGACTTGGCATTGTATTTTTACTGTTCATTTTCATTACTTGTGCACCTCTAGGTAAGAAAAAAACAGCTATTCTCATAAATGATCTGTCTATTTGTTCTGTTCTTCTGGAAATGTCAGTATTTTAGGTACACACACATTCAGATTAAAAATCAGTGAATGATGGCTCATGAATTGTATCTCAATAACAGGGTAATGGCAACAGCAGTACTGATACTGGGTTAAGAGGCAAACCTGCAGGGACAGACTATGTCAATATGAATTTCTAAAAGTTCTCCGAAAGGTCAGACGAGAAAGCTTTGGCAATAAAGAGCCAGAAAGAATGTCTATCTCACTTTACGGTCATCTATTCCACGCTCTCATCTCTCTCTTACATACACTACCATTCAAAAGTTTGTTTTTACAATGTTTCTCTTATGTTCACCAAGGCTGCATTCATTTGATCGAAATACAGTAATAAAAACAGTAACACTGTGAAATATCACTATATAACTGTTTTCTATCTGAATATATTGCAAACTGTAATTTATGTAATTCAAATGTAATTCATGATGTCAAAGCTGAGTTTTCAAGAGGTTAATTTGAGCAGCAGATCAGCATAGACTTATTCCTGAAGGATCATGTGACCTGTATTTCTTAGCATTAATTTGATTAAAAATACAGTAAAAACAGTAATATTGTGAAATATCATTACAATGCAAAATAACTGTTTTCTATATTAATATTTAAAAAAGTAACTTGTTCCTGTGATGGCCAAGCTGAATTTTCAGCATCATTTGTCTCCAGTCTTCAGTGTCACATGATCCTTCAGAAATCATTCTAATACGTTGATTTGGTGCTCAAGAAACATTTCTTACTATTATGGATGTTGAAAACAGTTTTTCTTAATATTTTTGTGGAAACCATAATACGTTTGTTTTTTTCAGGATTCTTTGATGAATAGAAAATTAGAAATATTGTCTGACACTGTCACTATTGATCAAATTAATGCACCTTTGCTGAATAAAAGTATTATTATTATCTTTTAATTCTGACCACAACCTTTTAAACAGTATTGCACGCCTCCTCCACGAGCACTTTTTTCACAAGTGCCACCTCATTTTTTTTCTTCCTGGCCTCTCCCACTTATTCTTATTGGCCTGTTTTTCTTCTGCTCTCTCTGTGCATGTATGATGTCTGCAGAATGTTTAAATAATGCAGGAGATTCTGAGAGGGAGGGAAAGAGAGAGAGAAACTGAAATGTGCTCATTCCATGGTAAAGGAGAAAGGAGAGCAAATATCGGTGTACTACTGTCACACCAAGGTGAAAACTGACTAAACGGAGAGACATCGAGATTGAAGCGAGAAGGATGTGGAAAATGGGCGGAGCTCACGATTGTGTTTTCTTCATTCACTCATTCGTTTTCTCATTCGCTGCAGGTGGATCGGCTCAAGAGAAGAAATACACTAGATAAGGAAAGATAAGAAGGAAGAGGTGGTCGATATTCCACTGCGACACGTGTTTCTGCACTGCTACACACAACTGCTCTTAAATGAATAATTCACTGTAATGAGTGTAATGATGAATAATTGAGCTTGTGCGGTGCTGGTCCAGTCTGGCCACTAAACACACAAACTCACATAGGTCTGAGCAACCCAAAAACAACCCAACCGCTGGGTCAAAACAACCCGCTGGGTCAAGTACTACTGTCACACCAAGGTGAAAACTGACTAAACGGAGAGACATCGAGATTGAAGCGAGAAGGATGTGGAAAATGGGCGGAGCTCACGATTGTGTTTTCTTCATTCACTCATTCGTTTTCTCATTCGCTGCAGGTGGATCGGCTCAAGAGAAGAAATACACTAGATAAGGAAAGATAAGAAGGAAGAGGTGGTCGATATTCCACTGCGACACGTGTTTCTGCACTGCTACACACAACTGCTCTTAAATGAATAATTCACTGTAATGAGTGTAATGATGAATAATTGAGCTTGTGCGGTGCTGGTCCAGTCTGGCCACTAAACACACAAACTCACATAGGTCTGAGCACCAGCACTGATGCCTCTAATAAAAGAAGCCTGAGCATCACAGGACGGCTAAGCACATATAGGTATGGACACCAACAGAAAGTGCCTGCTCAATCGAAACTACCTGTGTAACCTTTCGTTACTAAAGAGAAAATGATGTGCAAATAATGGTATTACACTCTAAAAAATGCTGGGTTAAATATAACCCAGCGCTGGGTTATATTTAACCCAGCATTTTTTAGAGTGTAGATATTGAATAAACAGTAAATATATCCTTGAAAACAATTAAAGAGATTGGAGTTGAAACTTTAAAATCTCCATATAAATGCCGAACTATGATCAGAAATCCAGCTCAAAGAATTACAAATGGTTTCATTTTTAAGGTATGGTTAATGATAGGTATAATTGTACCTTTAGAATTATAATTGCCTTTGTACCAATTGTAACTTTATAGCCATTCAAATGATTCAAAACTCACAGAAAATGATTCCGATGAAGATGACTCCAATGACACCCATAATAATCATCATCTGAGGGACGAAAGGAAAGGACAGAAATTGTTGCAATCACACAATTTATCCCTCACTCTACATTACAAGAAGACAGCAACACAAACATCCTGTTTACCGTATTATTCAAGAATACAGCAAACAAACGTTTACAAATGGGATTTGCTCATTTTATCAGCTGCCTGGCAAAAATCATAAGTCTGATTGTTTATAAATGTTTAGGTGAAAATCTGGAGAATGGATTTAAAGGGGAGGTCTAATGCTATTTCATGCATTCGGAGTTATTTACACTGTTAAAGTGTTGGATTCTCATGCTAAAATCATCAAAAAAATGCGTTGGACGTATGACGTTGGAGTATTTCTGTGCCAAAGACACTCCATCAGGGTTTGTATAAGTATCGGGAAGTTTTTTTCAAGTATGGCCCTCCTGTTTACACAAATTAACTAATTGACACTAGCAGTTGTACAGAACAAAATCACTGAGCAAAGCACAAGCAACAAGCACTGACCTATTTACTCCTGCATGTTAGTTCATTAACACTTCTGAGTACATTCTGAGCTATTTTAGTATTACTTATAGTATTTATTAATACTTTGAATTCGTTTTTAGTTTTAGTTTAAGTTTGCTACATGCTGTTGTGTTATGTGCTTTATTGTGTGCTTTTATTTTTCTTTAAATATTTCTATATAACTTTATTTTTAGTTCAGTTTTAGTATTTTAGTACATCAACTTCAGCTTAAATATTACAGACACTTTTTAAGTAAGTTTTTCATCTATTATTTATATTTTATTTTAGAAAACACTGGAGTACATCAAATAATTTCCTGTTAAATTTGGTGTGTTTCAGTTTTTCACTGTAAATCCCTTTGGTTAATTATTAATTAAAATGACAAAGTAATAAGTAATATCCTGTATGAGCGGTAAGCTGATTTCATGCAGTCACGATGACTCACCTCTTTAAAGACGACAAGTATATATAATAGAAATAGAATAGAGATTGCTAGAGTTAGAGGGTCAAGATGGAAGAGATGTGTTTTTAGCCGTTTCTTGAAAGGACTCAGGACTCAGCTGCTCGGATCGAGTTGGGCAGGTCATTCCACCATTCAAGTCATTCAGTATATGCAGGTAAAATGTATTTATTTTGTTTAAAAACTTTTCATAGTAATATTTATGTTGTTTTGATTAGAATTAAATAATTAGCATTGAAAAATTTTGACTGTTTTTGAGCAATCATGAGTTCTAAAGTCAAAGGAATTTTATAATTTTTAACAACTTTAGAAATGAATAGTTTTATGCATTAATTTAATCATTTCTCTTTTGTTTTTTAATCAAAAAGGGGTAAATGCAGTACAAACATATAATAACATGGTACTCTTCAGATTCCCTTACCCATAACAAAGCCCTTTATTATAAAAGGAACTGAAAATAATGATACAAAATCGACAAAGAAAGAAATCCAAAAACCACAAGGGAAACTATAGTTGGTTGGCATGAAATAACTAGCAAATAAACACTGAAGTGAGCACTACTATGTGAAGTAGTGTTGTCTGACATTTCTTTCTGCTTCACCAAATATGTTCAGATCAGATGTTACTTAGATGATACTTAAAAGGAACAAATGAAGATGCTCATTCACCATTATATGCAAGAAGTATTTTTTGGGATATTCTTTTCTTTCAGTAGAGTTTGTTGTTAGTCTGTTCTGTTGTTCCTCTCTCTAACATTTGTTAAGAAATCTCATTAACTCAGTTATTCTTGCTGTTTTTTTTTTAAAAATTATATATGAATTCTGTGTTCATTTCTATCCATAATCCAGTAGGAAACCTTTCATCAGTTGTATTTGCCCTTGTCCTCTGTCAGTCCAGACACATCTTATTCCTCTATTTCTTCTCATCATCTTTCTTGCCCTCAGGTGGTTTTGTTCTGTTCTGGGACGCCAGAGAGCCCATGGCATTACGGATGGCTTCATTGTTGGGGTCGACACCTGGAAGGTTCTCCAGCACACTCTGCAAAAACTCTGGATCCTGCATCACATCATAATCCTCCTCATCCTCCTACAAAACACACAAAGAGTTTCAACTGGGATGTTTCATGCACTTGTCCTGGGCATAGTTGTATGTGATTATAAACTTACCTCTTGACAAATTAAAGGCAGTAACTAATATATATGTTACAAATTAAATGCATAAATTTAGCAGCTCAGTATAGATTATCTGCTTCCTCAGATGCATTATTAGCAGTTCCAAATTTAATCAGTTTAGCTCCAGGTTTTCTTGGAAAAACATAAATATCTCACTGGCTACAAGGTCAACTTCAAGAACACAACTGGCAAAAATATCAATCCTCCATACAGCGCAACAGTGACTGTCAATTTTTCTGTGGCTTGGGTTCCAGAAGTATTTTTCCCATTCATCTTTTTCCATAGGTTTTATTGAAGAAAAAAAAAAAAAAGTGCATCATATAATTTCCTGTTAAATTTGGTGTTCTATCTAATCCCCTCGCTTAATTATTAATTAAAATGATGAAGTCATACGTAATATCCTGTATGAGCGCTGAGCTGATTTCATGCAGTCACAATGACTCACCTTGCAATTCTTCCACCAGTATTTGTTCTTCAGTTTGGCAGCACAGCTTTCGAACTGTGACGCCCCGGCCTGTAGAGCATCTGCCCTGTCGTCCAGCTCAGAGAGCTTCTGGTCTCTCTCCAGAACCTTATCCACATTCACACGCATGATATCCACCACCTGCAGACCACAACCACAGAAAGACATGAGACCAGAAAGAACGACACTGAATACTTGTGTTGCAATATCATTGATTTGTATTTTGGTCATTCGAAATGATGTATGTGCAAAACTGCACAAATTCATGCTGTCCTGTGCATATATAATGCTTCCATTTTTTTGTCCATAAACTCTTTACACACAAACACACACTCACCTCCTCCACTTGTGCTTGTGTCTGCTGCAGTCGGCGGTTGCTGGTGGTGTTTGGAGGGGGAGCAGGAGGACCGGCTCCTCCAGGGCCACCTGGGGCTCCAGGAGCACCTGCTGGGTTGGCATCATCTGCAGCAGACCTGAACATTCAAAGAGAACCATGACAGATTAATAAAAAAAAAAAAGTTGCTGACTGGTGCACAAGTTATGGTCTGATTTTCCAGTTAGAGTATTTCAAACAGAGTATGTTTCTGAAAAGAGATTGACTACTATATTAATTATAAGGTCTAAATTAGTGGTCGACCAATATGGGGTTTTCATTGTCTTATACTAATCATGTACACACGCATATGATACATACAGGTTCATTAAAAAAAAATGTATTTTATAATTTTTTTTTACATTTAAAATCCGTATAAGCCTCAATACCAAGGAGGTCTAGCTTATATCTTGGTCTATCAACATTTTTTAATTATAAATATTTAATCTTGATTGTCACTGATGCTAAGAGAGACCTCGCTGTATATAGGCATAGGCATAATTTTGTATACCTGCATGACAACAAATCTCCAACAAATCAATAGAAATTTAAGACACATTCCTGGGAAATTAAGCTTGAAAACTGTTAACAACGTATGTAAGTAACTGTATGTAAGGGTAAAAAAGCATAAGTGAATTTATATTTCATAGGCCTGTAATTGTAACAAAATCAGCAGAATACAAAGTCTGAGCAAATACTTACATTCTCGTGCAGCTGTTTCAGAGTGCCTCACTGAAGGAGAAAAGGCAAAAGGTGATACAATTAAAATTAAAATTTCGAAGAAGAGGTAGAGACGTTCAGATATGAAGGGAGAGACTGAGATGCAAGGCTGAAGCGGATCAAAGCAGGAACCCCGCGCGAGTTATCAGAGAGAGTGGCGCATACCGCAGCACGCGCTGGACAGTGAGAGCGCTCGCGTAGAAATGTTCAGTTTAGCCTTGAGGGAACTCCAGGAACGGATTTTTAGGGTGACCAGTTTCCTCTATAAAACTTAAAAAAATAACGAGAATGAGAGAAACTATAAACATACAGAAAGCAGCGCTGGATCGCCGTTCTTCGGTTGTGTTGGTTTGTAGGTTAGTGTAGCAGATGTGCACTGCGTCGCTGCTGTAGCTGAACTCATGAGGATGAGGATGATGATGATGCGCAGCATGTTTCCACAGCCCCATCCTCTCTCTCTCTCTCTATGTACTGCGGTACATCAGTGAATTCAGAGTGCTGAGTCGGCTTGTTCTCTCATAAGCCACTTTTCTTCTCTGTGAGAACTGATTTCTCCACACTCCCCGCATGCTATTTTCCTCATGACCTGCAGAGTCTATCAAAACATCAGGACAGATTTCTGACCGCATCAACGCACTTAACCCATTTTAGGTTACTGTATTTAAAGAAAAATGCTGCATGATATTTATAACATGATAATAATCTGTTAGCTATAGACAAAATGCAGCACCAAATCTTGTTTTTATACAACAGTAATTTGTGAAATGGGAAATGTGAAGAAACCCAGAACAAAATCAGTGCCCATTTAAACATGTTTTAGTCCAATTTAGAATGGATCTGTATTTTGAGAGTAGTGATATATAAAGAGTGATATTTATTCATTTAGAGGGTCTGTCACACAGCTTCAGTGATGTTTAGCCCTCATAACGCATCCGGGTCCGTTTTGACCTGGGAGCGATATATAAACATTTCTAAAAACTGCATAGTTTTTAGTAGTGGATTGAAAGTGTGTTGAGGCCCTCAAAACATTCTTTTTTTTTTTTTTTATCAAATTTTTTTTTTTAAAGAGATATAACCATTTAAAAAATGTTGTGGGCCCGGTTATGTATAGAGTACCATTAGGTGTCAAAAATACTTTTTGTTAAATTATCTATCAAGTTAAATTAGTGTTTAAAAAAAACCCTTTTGTAAAATATGTTTAGCCTTTTACCCATATCTCACACTTTGGGACTGAATTTTGCTGTTTTTTCATCTGAAAGTTTACATTTAGCAATTTAGCAGACGCTTTTATCCAAAGCAATGGCTTGGGTTCCAGAAGTATTTTTCCCATTCATCTTTTTCCATAGGTTTTATTGAAAAAAAAAAAAAAAAGTCTTTGTTCAAGACCAAACCAACCAGCTACGAGGTGAATCACAACATTACAAACTTTCATTTGAAGCAAAAAAAGTGTTTGAAAATCAGACAAAAAGACAAAAGTACAAGACTGTGTATTTAACTGAGTGTACTTAACTAGTTAATGAGGGAAAAAATTGCAAATATATAGACATACAGATGTGTGTGTGCGTATGTATGTATATTAAAATGTATATTACATTTATTAGCATAGGGATATTATTTAATACAGAAGTTGAAATAATGAGGACTGATGGATTCAACAGAAGCATGTACCATCGATTAACAACCTCATATCTCACAGTAGGTCTGTCTTATTTGTACATAAGTTATCGTGACAATTCATTTCCCCTATGGAGAAAAGGAATTCGATTTTTTTTTCTTATGTGCAGTTATAGTATGGCAAGATCAAAGCGGCTCTCATACAGCGCTTCATTTAGACAGAACCAAAGACTAAAACATAACTTTCCTAAAACTGCCTTGCAATCACTGGCATTTCCTTCAGTAGATGCAAATCTAAATCAGCATTTCTGTTTTGTGTGGTTTTGGCTGGCTGTATCAAGTTTCGCAAGAGCTTCTGAATAATGGGTATGAAGAATATGTCGCTGCTTTTGATTATTCTCACAACATGACTGTGCTCAAAATTCTGATCTCCTCTCTAAAAGCAAAGCAGACATGGTGTGAGGAAGAGCGCTGGGAAACGCACCTTAGGAGCTTCACTGTCTGCTGCTGCACCTGTGTCCACATCCATGGCCTCTGAACCGCCAAACTCTGTGCACAAAAGACAATCATTAGTTGTATAAAATAAATAAGTCAAAAAAATGAAGAATAAAGCCTCGTGCACACCGGGACGATTATCACGCACGCTTATCGTCAGCGTTTTTCGACGCGTCTTGCGTGCTCATACCCAAGTGATTTTCACTGGCGATGAGCCGAGTGAACATGCAAATTCACTCCCTGACATTAGATGGCGCTTAATGAAAAACAGAAATACCCCGGTACACATCGAATCCTATTTGTTCTGCAATTCCTCTCCATAACAACTCCCTCTTATTGAGATTTTTGTAGGACTTCGCTGTCGCGTTTGTCATAAAGCTATTTGTGTTCAGACACCAATGAGACCAGCAGCTACATTCATCTTGCCTCGATGCATCTTCTTCGTCTACTTACTTCCTCTTCGTCATTAGGTATCAATGTGTGCTCGGCAAGACCGAATTTTTTTTTTAAAGAGATATAACCATTTAAAAAATGTTGTGGGCCCGGTTATGTATAGAGTACCATTAGGTGTCAAAAATACTTTTTGTTAAATTATCTATCAAGTTAAATTAGTGTTTAAAAAAAACCTTTTTGTAAAATATGTTTAGCCTTTTACCCATATCTCACACTTTGGGACTGAATTTTGCTGTTTTTTCATCTGAAAGTTTACATTTAGTAATTTAGCAGACGCTTTTATCCAAAGCAACTTACAAATGAGGACAATAAAAGCAATCAAACCGTGCGTGTACTGTGTCAAAGTACTGTGACAAGTCTAGGTTAGCCTTACGCAGTACACATAGCAAGGTTTTTTTTTTTAAATAATAAAGAAAAAGAATAAGGAATGCTTGTGTTAGAGGGTCTTTTTTTTTTTTAAAGGGGTCATATGATGCGATTTCATTTTTTCCTTTCTCTTTAGTGTTACAAGCTCTTGGTGCATAAAGAAGATCTGTAAAGTTGCAAAGACTAAAGTCTCAAATCCAAAGAGATATTCTTTATAAAAGTTAAGAGTTAGCC